CTTAGGCCGGAGCCGATTGATAAACGAGTCAGTCCTTCTCACTACACCATGAGAAATCGACCCATAAGGCATTCACCATTTTACGGATAACCCGACGCACCTTCTCCCGTATTACTCGCATGGACTTCCAAGTACTCTATGGGGCCTACGTCAGTCTGCTCCTGGAGTACCCAACCCAAGTTGTCTACACAGGACGTACGAAAGACGTCACCCTCATTGAGCGTGTCCAGCGGGCCGCCACGAGAATGGTTGCCGCCTCAAGTCCNCGACAAGAACAAAAGCAACCCGGGAAACTCAGGCAAAAGCCTCGATCCGTTGTATCAGTCTGCAAATCCGTGAAGCAATCCCATTGTGCGAATACTGAGCAGTTCGCCAGGGCCTCGCGGCCTTGAACTTCGGGCTAATGGCCAGGGTCACAAAGGGTATGAGTGAAGCTGTTGTAGTGGAGGGATTAGCAATGCAGGTGAATGGTATCAGGAATATCAGGATCATGGTGAACAATGAAACACTAGGGAATCACCGACGTCGCTGTTGTAGAGTTAAAGTTCCTTGGAAGAGTGAGTTAGTGACAATACACAAGCTTGAACGCGAACTGTTCAGAATATTATCGACTTTTGAGCGGTCTGAGTGCTCCATCGACCAGCGTCAGCGTTGTTAGTAACGACGTGATTAGAAGACGGGTATTCGGTTGTGCGGCAGGTACCTCAGTCGAGGAAAACATTCAGCATCACCAACTACGAAGGCTCGGTCATGTGCTACACACGCCGAAGCACCACCTACCGAGACGAGTGTCGTTTTCCGTGCCTCCTTCAGAATGGCGCAAATAGCGGCGGTCGCCGCATGGCCTGGCAGAAGATGAAAGAGATCACGAAAAGTTTGGGTGTTGTCGGTGTTGTGCGCCTTCCAGGATGGGGTCCCCGTGATCCCACTTGTTCTTGGTTGGAGGCGTCGCAAGAAATTGCGGCCAATCGATGCCATTGACCTTCGTGTCAGCTTCTTTCCAGATTGTCTGATTGAGCGCTTGGAGGTGTAAGCACCTCAGAATGTTTGACCCACCCTTTCTCTTAATCTTTTCGCTCTAGGGCTTTAAAAGTAATTGAACGAACCTAATGGTTGTACGGCAGTGAAGCATCAGTGTCAACATTGATGTTGCTGTCTTTGGTGATGATGATCGACCGGTCTTGAGGAGTGATGGGTAGAGTACTGAGGCTTTTGACTGCGACGCACATCTTTGGACGGAGTGGAGGTAGAAATGATGGGGTAGCAGGGTCTGACAGTCGCCTGGTGAAAGACGGGAGTGGTGTCCTTATCGGTTAATTCGATTTATGTAGTGGTGTGTAACGGTATTTCCCTGAGCTTAGTTCTCGGTCTGAGCCTCCCAAGCTGGCGTTCACGTCAAAAACAACCACCAAAGGTGCACAAGGTATATAAACGCCCAAAACGAAGTCAGGAACAGTTGTACAGCGCTTCATATATATAGCGTAGGTGGCTATGACTTTCTGGAAATTCTGACGCGTTCTGGATGCGCCATTTGCAACCGGCGTTTGGTTAGGTTGTCTGTTGGGCCCAGACTTTCGAGCAATCAGTTCTCGCCTTAATGCCGGACAGGCAAGCGTCCCGAATTCTTGGCCAATCTTGCGTGGGATGGGCTTCTCGGCCATAGCGGCACCAGAGCGGTGCTAGCAAGCATATAACTTAAGGAAGCCTAATCATGTGGTAAACAGTCAGAGGGTAGGTTGAGGGCGGCCAATGTTGGGGTGTCATAAGTAGGTAATTAATTGATACACAGGAAGTAATTAAAACGCCACGGGTTGATTTGGATCCAAAAATGTTTTTAGAACACCCTACTCTGAGATTCAAGTACCCCAGTTCCTGAGTTCTGCGCCGAATAGCAGTTTTCCTGTAGTTCTTCACGCCGCCACTGTGACCCTGATCAAATCGCTTTCAGATGATTTTTTATGAGCCCCCCGTGCTCACACGCTTATTGCCCAGAGCTTTGAACACTAGGAGTAGTGTTCCACCTTTCTGAATAACAGATGCTGCCAAACGATAAGAAAACTGATTTGAGATGCATGGGCGGTCCAGGAGTTCGATTCGGGGGATCCGTGAAGAGAGAACTCCATAGTGTTTTATCTAAAAGCCCTATGAATGTTCAATGCCTCAACCGTTGTAATATACTGCGTGCTTGTGCTGGTTCTCAAACCGTTTCAGGCACCCTCGTTCCAAAGCATCGCTAAAGTGGAGCGTTTTGAGCGCCGTGGCTTCTCAGAAACGCGCCGTTACCATTTCCAGACGTTTTCTACTTATGAAAGCTTATTTTGCAGATTTTCGTATCGCTATCCTCTGTTCAAATGTTTCAAAAGTGCAAACTGTTTTAATTAACCTAACTAGTTCCGTCACGTGGTTTGGCAGCATGTGCCTCACACCTGCTACAAGACTAGGTAGGATCAAACTCAAATCTCATTCTAGCAGGTGAGCCAATCGACGTGGTGGATAAGTTGGTTTACCTGGGCAGTTGTGCAAGTTCCGATTGTCTGTCTGGAGGTGAGATTACGTCTCGAATCGGGAAGGCCAGGGCAGCTTCTGCGTACCTCCAACACTCATGGCACTGACACAACGTCAGTTTATCTGTCAAGGGCAGAGTTCAGACTGCGGCAGTGCGATCCATACTGCTTCGTTGATCAGAAACGTGGCCTCTACACGCATGGGGCATACGAAGGTTGTCAGTTTTGACCACCGATGTTTCAGAAGCATTGGAAACATCGGGTTAGCAGTGCTGAGGTACGTCTCGCGGGGCGAAACGGTCCAAGTGGTAAGAGCGCGAATTCACTGACCGGAAGGTCCGTGGTTCGAATCCCACCTCCGCCTCTCTACTTCCCCTGTCTAGGCTTGGACAACCTGGTAGTATCCCAGCCCTCGTGCTTCCTTCGGGTGGCCCGGCAGCTAGGTACTGGAAGAGTGCTACAGCTGAACGTTTTTTTCGGTTTCTGATGGTTTTAGGGAGAACGAATTAAGTGCGACACATGAGTTACGCCGACTAGGACATGCACTCCACATATCAGAAGACTGTCTGCTTCGCGAAGCCATTTTTGCCCAGCCCTGTGTTGACTGGAAGCGACCGAGAGGCGGACAATGATCTACTTGACAACGAATAATGAAAACCCTAAACTGTAAGCTTAGTCGGGTCGACTGCTGGTGATTCTCTGGATGGGGCCCCCGGGATTCAACTCATCATTTGTTTGTGATACTGGCAGAAATGGCCCAATCGTGCAGTCAGTTGGACTCATGCGTCAAAGCTATCGCTTTCAGCATGTAGCTGCCCAGTTTCCAAACTAACTGTAGGTGCCATCGCCCTCAATGATTGGTTGTATCTCCCACTTTCCGGTGATCAAAACTATAGCAGCTGGAACCGGTGTACCCATGGTACGAGGTCTACAGCTGATAACTTGAGAATTGAAAATATTGTTCTACCGTTTTGTGGATTCAATGCAACTGAGACGAGCGTTTATTCGTATTTTAAACCTTCTTTTTTAGTTTATTTTCCTCCAATATGCTTGCTGACTTGTCGCAGTATACGGTGGCGAACTTCCCTTCCCGGTTATACTACATACCAGATTTTCTGAGCGCAACAGAAGAACGAGACCTATGTGATTTTATCTATGCTTCACCGATTCCGAAGTGGGTTACTCTCAGCGGACGTCGGCTGCAAAACTGGGGCGGGATACCACACCCGAAAGGAATGTTATCTGAGCCAATTCCTCCAGTAGGTATTTCCGCTACCCGTGCAAAGCTGTCTCGCAGTGGCTGACCAAATTTGTCGACCGTGTGTCTGCCCTTGGGGTGTTTGGCTCTCACTGTGCAAACCACGTATTGATTAACGAATACAAGCCTGGCCAAGGCATATCGGTGAGTAATTACGACGTTATCCTATTCCGCCTCATTCATTATCCTCAGCTTCCGATTCTTCCTTGGGACATTGCCGGTCAAACTGCTCATAGCACCGATATAGGTTGTTCGCATCAGTAACCAGCGGATAGAAACTTGAAAACAAAACATGTCTCCATATTTCGCCACCAGACCTTGTGCCAATGGGCTCAAAGTAATGTGTCCCTTTTTTCTCTGAATTGCTGGCAAGGGCGTGATAGCGCAGTGGTTAGAGGGAATTTATTTGCCGGATGATCTGTGGTTCGAACCCGATCTCTGCCTCTCGACTTCCCCTGTCTAGGCTTGGACAACCTGGCTTCCTTCGGATGGCATGGCAGTTAAGCACCGAAAGGGTGCTACAGCTGAACGATTTTTTTGGCAACTGTTTCTGAGGCTTATCGACTCACTTCACTGTTGTTTCCAACTCCCTTCTGTTAGGCCTGAGCGGTATATGTGGACATGGAATAGTGAATCAAGTGATGATTGCTAATCTAATAGTTCCTCCGGTTGCTCAAAATCGTCCAGAAATTTTTGCCAGGTCTAATAAGTCCATTGTATTGCCCGACTGTGAAGTTCCGACAGGACTGGGCAAATTACACATTTCTCATGTTTGGGCATCTTACATTGTTCAGGGGCAAATTCTCATCCAGATAGAAAGTGTTCGTCCACTGATCAGAAGAAGGTTAACCGAAAACATTCGATCGGTTTCATCGGTTAGAATTCTAGCACAGGCATCTCGCATATCACACTCACACATCCCAAGACCGTGTCAATAAACTCGAATGCCATTCGTCTTTTGGTATCGACCGACCAGCAGAATCACGTTAGAAGAGGGGAAGACGTTTAGTGCCTTTTGCTAATAAGGGACTGTGGGCTTTAGACGAAAACCTATCAGTCCGGTTGCTGTATCTGAATTCGGCTAGTTGCTTTTTATGAACTCGCGCGTACAAGCTGCACACCTGTTGTTGAAAGCCTCCGTCTTTTCGACACAAAGGAAACGACTCCCGAATCCACTCAGACCCAGTCGACCGACCTCCTCGAAGGGTTCTTTTCGCACAACTAAGGGAGGGGCGGAAGCGAGCCAGAGGTATGAAGGATATTACCGGCAAACTCAGCTGCATTGGTTATTGCCGTCTCTCTGGATGGTAACCCCAAGACATCACTGGTTAAAGACATTGTCAGACGTGGCCCAGTCGCGCACTCAATGGTACTCATGCATCTACGCTATTCCCTTCAATGCGTAGCTCCCCTCCCAATCTCGTCAATGAAAAGCCCACTGACAATCCTGTATTTACGTGTCAATTAAATCACTCCCGCCTCCCCACATCATCGGTGAACTACATAGTGGCACCTATAACCACTGTACGACAAGTACGCAGTTCTTACAGCTGATAGTGATGATGATGCTCAGTAACTCATCTTCTCTGGGAACGCTGAATGATTAATGGTCAACGGTAGGGCTGGGAGAAGAAACATTCATCACCATCGGTTCGTTTCTGGATGGATTTTAAAGTGTATTCGTCAACGGAAGGAACTGACCACGTTACGAGTCGGACTAGTGGTGTTACGATAACCCACACCAGTATTTAACTTGGGCGACTTTCTTCTACACATATTTATTAGGTTAGTTCGGTCAGAAAGCACTTAGCTGGCTTTTCTTCCGACAAATGAGACATTCCAAAACGACGTGTGTCATTTTTGCTCTCTGTATTGATTGTCTTCTGCCTTTGTTTGTCACTGGAAGCCGTGCTGTCTCAGTTTCGCTTCTCTTGAAGACCGCCTGAAGGGACCGACCAAGGGCTTGTTTTTTTCAAGGAAAGGAAAAGTTGAAAACCTCAGCTGCAGTGACATTTCGACGTGTCGTGGTCCACTAGATACGTTGTAAGTTCAGAAGAGCTTAGACAGAAAGGGCCGATTTGCTGGAGGGTCTACCTGATCCGCAAACTTTTCTGTGTTAATTGACACACAACTTATGGACGCAGATTTATTCTCTATGTTGATGCCTGTCGTGTAATACCGTTTTCTATACTGGTGCATTTCATCTTAGCTATTGACTCAGTCGTGATGCTTGAATTTGCTTCCTTCCATCTTGGCAGCCCCATCATGATGGACCTTTATACTTTCCAGTTGTGGCAACTCTCAATTTGGGATCTTACGGAATATTAGATTTCTATCGACCCTTGGATGACAATGATGCGAATGAGGTATGTCTTTGGGCGTCATTTCCATATTCCACAGGATTCCCAGTCGACTTCTTACGCCAGCCGGTACATTGGCTCCGCACTTTTACAACCTCGAAGTTTGAATGTGGTGACGGACAAGTTGTACACTCATTACATGCACGGTATTGAGTGTAGTTCTACGGACTTCATCTGCACCTCTGACAACATCGATTTGTGCGCGCTGTCCGACGAGATTCATAGAGCACGAATCGTAAATCTCGATGCCTGTGGCCCTGGAGTTGTACCACACACTGGGATGCTCAACCGGGATACCAGAATATCAGTCACTATTCGCTATGTCCCTAATGTTTGCAAGTTGAGTGTCAATGCTTTTGTAATGTAATGACTCTGACAAAACGGTGATGATGCCACACTGCTGAATTAGTAGTTGGGGCAATGTTCGGCTGCAATACCCCTTCGCTGCATAGCCGGTGTGCCACCCGGGGGATGACTATAGACAGGCTGCCAAGCCCAGACAGAAACAGTTAATATGCCAGAGTGACGTTCGGGCCGCGAACCATCTAGTCAATAAGCTCGCACCTTAACCAGTGGCTATGATGGTTCTGCTATTCAGTACGCATATTCTCCGTCACGAAGAGACTGGACCTTACCGTGGTGTGACGGTTTGCGCACCTCAGCGATCCATTGAGCTATACTGGAGAGTGTCCCGCGACACTCACAGAGTCTCTCATACCAGGTTGGTCATCCAGGTTGGGGGTTGGAACATGTGGCGACTTGTTTCGTAGAAATGGTAATGCATTTGCATTTCCCGCCAAACACCGCTGCCTTGCGGTTAGGCTTTTGAGCCAAAGGCTTTGGTTGAGGACCCTAATCGTCCTCCTGTCTAGGTGTGGGCGCCCTGGCAGTATCCCAGCCCACGTACAACCA